GCTTTTTTGTTATTGTTGTCATTGTTGTTTAGTAGGCCCTGGCTGGGTTTGAACCCACCAGCCCTGGTGCATGTGGCTAGCGCCCTAACTACTGAGCTACGGACGCCTGATTGCTTACATTAATTCACATTTTAAGCTCTTCTTGTGGGGCCTGTGGTGATGGCTATGATAAACATGGTTTCTATTAAAATAAGTCAGGCCTCAGAAAGAAAGATGAGTTGAATGTGGAAATAACTGAATAGATGGAAGCGAATAAGTTTTGTTGTGCTAAGGAAATGGCCTTGAAGCAAAGCTGCTTGTGTTCAAATCTAGCTTGAATACGTCATAGCTGTATGATCTTGGGGAAATTACTTGGCCCTTCTCTGACCTTCAGTGTCTTCATCTGCTAAGTATGCTTCCTAATTGAACTTATATTATCAGGTTGAGATTAATGGGTTCTTAGTCATAAAGCATCTGGCATAGTGCCTATATATAAAGCACGTAATGAAAGCTTGTGGTAAATAAACGAGAACTTTCCTATGAAGCAGAAGATGCTAAATTATAAACAGGCTTCCCTGTATCTGTGGAGTACAAGCAAACCAGGGAACATCCTTGGTGCATCTCATACTTCTTCAGATTCTTTCTTCTCCAGTATAATATTTGTAGAAAATCTGTTAATCACTTGCCTGTAGAGGATTAAAACAAACAAGAAATAATCTATATATAACAAATAAAAATCTTTCATTTCATACCTGGAAAAAAGTCAATAGCTACTGGAATATGACCAATGGACTCAATCATCGGCCACAGCCTTGAAAATTCTAAGCCTTATTGAAATATTATCAATAAATTGCCTTGCTTGAGGACATATGAACACTAGATGTTTAGGAGACTGTTTTGTATCTATAAGAAGAAGAAATATTACGGAAGAGGCCTCAAAGCATCTTCTGGAAACTATGTAAAACTCAATCCAGGGAAAAGAACTTGAAGATTCTGAGGACAATGACATAAATCTTAAAGAAATGGAAAATGTGGCTACCCTGAACAAGGCATCACTTTAGAACCAAAGCAACTGTCACTAAATGACCTCAAAGTATTTTCCTTGCATGTAGAATTTGGCCAGTCAAATGTGTAAGCAATAAGGGTAATTTCTGCCTGGGTATATGTACTTAAATTCTGTAGTTTCTATAAAACAAGAAGAAAATGTACTTATTATAAATTCTCTAGGCAAATACATTTTTGAATTTCATATTCTTATTTTTTCAACTCCATCTGAATTAGCCAATAAATAAAATATCGTATTAATGTTTATCTTTTTAAAAATATATAAATGGTTTGTAACTTCTAGCACCTGATCTTTTTACTCCATAATGAGGGCTGTGGAAATATAGAAATCTACTTTGTCTTATTTAACTTTCTTTTAATATTTCCTAGCATGTTTTTAATCATTTATGCCAATTAATAGGCCTGTCCTCTTTTTGTGATTTTTTTTTTCTTCCTAAGTGTTCATCCTGCAGATATTCTGAAAGGCTTCAACTTAGTACTCAGTTTTACCACACCATCGCTGACTTCACACGGCAGATAGCTGACTTACAACAGAAACTTTGCTGAGGCCAACCTCACATCCACCTTCTATGAGCTTCTTTTAGGCATCATCTCCCCACGGTTCCCACTTGCTTGGACTGTGAGAACCTCCATTTTGCTAGATATTAATCAGCAAAACTTATTGGATACTGTCAGTTTAAATTTGGAACTGGGTAGTTGGAATCACTAATCCATGCCTCCTGAAATAGATCTTGAGGATTTTGAGACTATAAAGACCGAGAAATAACCTAAAACCCACCAGCTAATGATGCTTAATCATTTGAACTCAGCTGATTCCCACTTCATCACTACATGTGACTAACATCTGAGAGAGGGTTCCATGTTACAGGAAGGAGAGGGAATCTACCCCTCCTTCTCCTCCCAGGACTGATAAGGGCTCTGGGAACTGGGCACCTGGTTGGTGCTGAGGAAGGACAAAGCCTGCTTTGGACTTTGACAATTTGCCAACCTGTTGTCGGAATGGATGTCATTTGTGACCCCTCCCGGGCTGTACCAGGAAGAGGCTACTCCTGGTGCCAGGATCTCTTGGTGTCAGTGCCCTCTGTAGACCCTATGACCCTGAATCCTGGCCCCACCCCTTGAGTAAAGGCTGTGGCTCCTGTCTCAGACCATCGTATAAATGCTCTGCCACTGCCTGGCCTGACAAGCCACCTGAGACCCAGCCAACAGGTAAGTGGGCAGCACAGGAGGAGGCACCTCTAACATGGGCTCTTCCCTTTTATCCTGGGCAAGATACGGGGTGATTCTTTGAAAGTTTCCAGCAATAATGAAACATATGCAGAACCATAACTGATTTGGGGTCACTCTGTCTGCATAATCGTCAAACCACAAGGGAAGTATTTTGTGATGTGGATTTCTCAGGGGGCCTTCCTGCTCTCAGGAGTTCAGAGTGAAGGCTGTAAGGAGGTATTAGTTTTGGTCTTGACTTCTCAGAATGCTCTTCCCTCTGTTCTCCTGCAGAGATTGCTGATTTCCTCCTGGAGCAAGAGATTCCCTGTTGCTCAGCATGGCTCAGACCAGCACATGCTTCATCCTCCTCTCCTGCCTGACATTCTTGTCTCTGAGCCAAGGTGAGGTCTTCTCTCCACCACCCCCTGCCTGCAGCCCTGAAGCCTTCCCTCATTCCCATGCATATCCTTCTCCTTAAAAAGAGGCAGACTGGATTTCAAGCATTGGGTTGTTATTGCTTGATCTTTCTCCCTGATGTCATCCCATCAAATTCATCCTCACCTCATTAGGGAATTTGAGATGGAATTTTAAATGAACCTTTGTTAGTGGCCACTGGAGAAGGCATTAGTTCATCTGATTAAATCCATCTAGGATGGCCTGTTTGGGGATGTTTTCAGATAGAGAATCACTAATTGGATGGAGAATTGAGAGAATCGTATATGCAAGGAAACCCAGGCAGGCTTGGGAGAGTTAGAAGACTGTTCCTTAAAGGCAGAGATGCTTCAGCCCCAGAAATGAAGGCGTGTAACTAATGGAGACACATTTGTTCAGTGTATTCCTTGTGTCATCGTGCCTTGAGCAAAGGAAACAAAGAGAGAGAATAGGTCGGATGCAGGAGAGAAAAGTGATCAGTTGCTCTGTGACCTCGTCTGTCCTGTGTTCCCAGAGGTGAGACTCAGAAGCTCCTACCTCACTGTGGCTGCCCTGACAGTCTCCTTTGTCTCTTGTTTCCCAGGCGAGGAGATCCACACAGAGCTGCCCAAAGCCCGGATCAGCTGCCCGGAAGGCACCAATGCCTATCGCTCCTACTGCTACTTCTTTAATGAAGACCTTGAGACCTGGACTGATGCAGAGGTGAGTGAGGAGGGCGGTGTGGGGAAGGGGGACTGAGGAAGTTGTAGCAGCTGCCACTTTCCAGTGTGCTCAGTGGCTTCAGTGAGATAATACTGATCCCCTCGCTAACCTATTAAGTTCCCCAAACTTTCTAACCTATGGTGTGCTGTCCTTCTGCCCATTTCTAAGTACAGAAATGCTGGTGGTAAGTGACGGAATCATGGGAAGTCTTTCTGTGCTGTCCTTTTCCTTCCATATTCTCTGCGATGACCCCGTACATTCTTTAAACCTTCCTTTTCTCCTGAATGCTCTTTTTTCCCCCCCAACAGCTCTACTGCCAGAACATGCATTCCGGCAACCTGGTGTCTGTGCTCACCCAGGCAGAGAGTGCCTTCGTGGCCTCCCTGATTAAGGAAAGCAGCACTGG